TCAGTGTCCTGCAGTTTCTCCCTTTGAATGGTAATGAAAAACTAGATTTGCTAACCCTTGTTTTTGAATAAGCTTCCAATACATCCCTTAGTAACCTAAATACAAAACTAATACTTCAAGAGATAAACGAGCACATTTCCTCCATGTTGACTTCACCGCTCATTCACAATTTTCTTCAAGATTTCATTTGTTTCAATCAATATTTATGTACCTCTAAAAATTACTGTTTTACAGGAAGAAACAAATCAGATATTTAAAACAGTAATGTAAATCATAGTTTGAAACTCTTGGTGATGAATGGATCTTAGGTAACTTTTGGGTCAACTTTGTGAACACTGAACGGTATGGCCATATTAGTATTTCTTAAGATAACTTTTTTCCTTTCTAAATTGTTTCTTTCTAAGTTCTATGAAATATACTAAATTTTAATTTGTTACATATAAATAAACTTCCTTATTTTCACTTCAAGTCACCATCAAATGCTAAACTTTGCATGCAGGCATCCATTTTCAATTACCTCGGCTCCTGGAGATGACTACCTAAGTATCCATGTGCGGCAGCTTGGTGATTGGACTCAAGAGCTTAAAAGGGTTTTTTCTGAGGTTTGTGAGCCTTCCCTCTCCGGCAAGAGTGGTCTTCTAAGAGCTGATGAAACTACCCTTAAAAGGTTAATATTTTCCTTATAATATTCCTTTCCTAGACCTCCTTTTAGCATGCTGCATTTCCTTCATATTAATGTTGGAAATTTATTATGCCCATGTCAGTCTGCCAAGGCTTTCAATAGATGGACCATATGGTGCCCCAGCACAGGATTATCATAAATATGATGTGCTACTACTTGTTGGTCTAGGCATTGGGGCTACACCTTTCATCAGTATTTTGAAGGATTTGTTGAACAATACTGTGAAAATAGAGGAGCAGGTAATGACTTGTGCGGATGTATTCTGAATCCGAGGGACATAGTTTCTTTTGTGTCTGCTTCTATTGTAATCAATCAGTTTGTCACAATCTAATAGCCCCGTAATTTGAAAAGGACAATACAAATATGCTTATACACATTGATTCTCTCAGGATTCATCTACTGGTATCACTAGCGTTGGAAACCTCAGTTATGTGAACAAAAATTCTCAAGCTCCTAAAAGGAAGAATTGTCTGAAGACCACAAATGCCTACTTTTATTGGGTAACTAGAGAGCAAGGGTCATTTGATTGGTTCAAAGGTGTTATGAATGAAATCTCCGAGCTGGATCAAAGGGTAATTCATATCTGTATGTTAGCAATTGGATTTCATGGCATGGCTGTTAATTGGGAATTTCAATTGTTTTGAGTTTTAGGGGGTAATTGAGATGCATAACTACCTTACAAGTGTGTATGAGGAAGGAGATGCTCGTTCAACTCTCATTACCATGGTTCAAGCCCTCAATCACGCTAAGAATGGAGTAGATATCGTGTCTGGCACCAGGGTAAAATCACAATCCTTCACTGCAGTTTCTAATACCTCTTTTTCAGATCCTTTATTATGTTTACTGAAGTAAATGGACAAACTTGAAAATTATGCCAAATATGCAATCAACAAAACCTTGGAAAAAATAGCGAGAAAGTTTAAGTGCTCCTATATTGGCTAACAAATTTTGTGGCCATATTAGTCCTTGACTCACAGTGTCATCGTTTAGATATCCCCATATTAAAGCTTTTGTTGGCCCCAATGCAGGTGCGAACCCACTTTGCCAGGCCTAACTGGAAGAAAGTTCTCAGCAAAATCAGTTCCAAGCACTGTGGTGCAAGGATAGGTTGGTTGATTTCAACTATATAACAGTAGAAACATATCAAAGAAATCTTACCTTTTCTCATATTGTGGTTTTGACATTTTCTACTAGGTGTCTTCTATTGCGGTGCTCCAGTTTTGGCCAAAGAACTTGGCCAGCTCTGCCATGAGATCAATCGAAACGGTTTGGCCAAGTTAGATTTTCACAAGGAACATTTTTAAGATAAGTTTGGATGCATCACTTTCTCCCTCATTCTCATCTCAAAAATATGTCAAGATTAAAAATTTCTAGAATTGTAGAAGTCATGAAAAAGAAAGAATAAAATAAATAAGATTTATAACTTGTAGAGACTAGGTAGGAAGGCAGAGACGAAAAAAAAAAATTGAGTTATACCAGGTGACGTTGTAGATTTAGCCATATTAGTCCAAGCACAATCACAAATAAACATTATGGTTTAGTAGGATAAGGAATTTTAAACAGGCTGAGTTCTTATATTTAGGGAGGGAATTTTTGTTATTACTATTGTTCCTTGAACGCCATGTGATCATCCCATAAAAGTACAGCGTCAAATTTTTTTTCTTCGAAATTAATGGACACTTCTACTCTTGTAATCATTGAACTTATGGTAATGCCTTATATGGATCTCTATTTTGAAAATCATGTTATACTACTTCCATATTTTGCTTGCTTAATATTCTGTCCAAATTTCCTTAATAAGGATCATGGTGATATACATGCTTGGCATATCTTAACATCTATATCAAGCTCTATCTGCTTTTTCTAGAAAATTTCGAGGTTGGGACTGGAGGATTAGACCAGAGAGAACGAAGAGCTGTACTAAGATCTTGAAGCATGGCAAGTCTTGTGGTATGTCAGTGCCATATTATCTTGTTCTAGGTGTTATTTTGACATTCGACTAAAGATTTTGATAGAAAAGCCATTTATTAAGACAAAGCACATTTACATAAAATTTAGGGAATAGTTGAGTTACTTGACACACGATTAGTCGTGAAACTACAATCTTATTGTTGAAAGGATAACATAGCAAGTTTGACATATAATGACTCGAGAACTCTTGAGCTTTAGATAAATGTCCTGTTTTCTAAAAAGACTTGTTTTCCTAACCTCTTTCTTGGCGAGGGCCGTAAAAACCAAGCTTTGATAGGGGACACCGAAACATTTTGAATATCATCTGGGATTCATACATTTCCCCGGTCACAATCTCGGCTAAGAAGAGACCGGGAAGGAAGGCATGGACTTCTTGTTTGAAATCGAACGGGAAGACGAATGGTTGATTGTTGGGAAAGGAGTCCCACGTCCGCTAATTATGGGGAGTCGTTTATCATAGATGTACTTGAATACATCTCCACTAGCACGACCTTTTAGGAAAACCAAAAAGTAAAACTACGAGAGTTTATGTACAAAGTGGACAATATTATACTATAGGGAGATGATTAGTAATTCCTAATCGACAGCTAGTCCCAGTCACCAGGAAAGAAGGCTGATGGCCACCAGGAAGGAATGGGATCCTTCCCAGGCGACTGGTTGTCGTGTTTGGTAGAAGGAAACAACAAGGAGGAAGAAGAATACAGAGGGAAGTGAAGACGAATACCGATGACGTCAATGGGTTAGAAAAACAAGTTTCTAGAAAACGAATCATTTATCTAAAGCCCAATTGTCTTTTAGTAATAATTGGCTAGCTTGTTAGGTAATTTTAGCTCTATAGTTGCTTTAGTGGAATAATCTCTCAGTAAATAGAAGCTTCATATTTGTACCAAGGATGAATGATCATTAGAAACAACTTTTGACTTTGAATAATGATAGACATTTGGCAAATGGAATTCTTGGAGAATGCATTAGGATGCATTACTAGCAGTAAAAAGCCTTTATACGTCCATGAATCTCAGCTGAAGAAATCTAATGTATTATTAATCAGTTTAAATCTGATTATCCATTAGAATGACTCAGCAGATCAAGAGGCATTCAAAACCCTCCCAATAGACATAGTATAGTGGTGCCTCTGATCCTCGTTTAAAATTCTAGGAGAATCGCAAGACAAAAAGGATGAAGACGAGGTCTCCTCTTCCTTAGATCCAGACATATACGACAAATTCAAAACTAAATGAGAAACAAAAAAAAAAAACTAAAAAAAAATAAGTCCTCACATGTCGGCTCGAAGAATCCTATTTGAAAGTTAGAAACCCACTGTTTATGATGAGTTAATTGATGTCTAGAAGGGAAGAACTGCTGGTCAACATGTAGGAGACATTACAATTACAATTAATCATCTGCCTAATCTCTGTCTCCCGCTGACTTCAAAAGGATAGGAATGAAAAAGGGAAATGGAGATGTGAAAAATACCCTTGTTCAACTCACTCTGCTAGTAGATATTATCTTTGTAATTTCCCTTCTAAGTTTCTTTTCAAAATTTTAAAACGCGTGCATTAGGGAGAGGTTTTTACACCTTAATAGATAATGTTTCTTGTTTTCGTCTCCAACCAACGTGGGATCTCACAATCCATCCCTCTTAGGAGCCCAACGTCCTTGCTATCACACTACCCGGTGTCTGATTCTAATACCGTTTGTAATCGCCCAAGCCTACTGTTAGTAGATCTTGTCATCTTTAGGGTTTTCCCTCAAAATTATAAAACACGTACACTAAGGAGAAATTTTCACCTTTATAAATAATGTTTTTTGTTCTCCTCTCCAACCGATGTAAGAACTCACCGTTTCATATGCCTCTGCACTCATCTAAGTTGGATATTACTTTTTCAATGGCAACACAAGAAAAGGGAGAGGGAAAAGGGTTGTTGTACACTACAATCAAAGGAGAGTCTGAATCATTATACTTGGGAGATTTTGTAAGTTTCTGCCTCCATTCAACTCTTCCTCTTCCAATGAATGATGAAGATTTTAAGCAAGAAAACTTCTATCACACAGTTTAGCCTTTTAGAGTAAATAGTAAGGGCTGAAGAAAAAGAAACAGAACGCAGAAAGGTCCAAACCCTCTGTTGGAAAAATTCTCCACCATCCATTGAGACAATAATACGTTGATATGTACCCCAAAAGATAATGAATTATAGAAAGAAACAACAACCATGATACGGAACAAGATAGCATTCCCAGAAGCAGTGATTCTCATGGGACCAAATCAAAACCTTATGTCTTGAAAAGACAGAATTGAATCTATATATAAATACCTAATATTTTAAAAACTTTAGCTCAAGATTTCAACTGATTCATGAATATGGAGACCCATCATCATTAGCCTCCATAAAGGCATTCAATAAATCCCCACATGCTTCCCTTCTTACTTTTAGACCATAATCCATTGGATAAAACAAGAAATGGAGAGAAAGAAAAGAAAAAGGAAGGAAGACGAAACTCATTTTCACTATTTAAGTAAAACCCACTTTTCCCCACTTCTCTGACCACTAAGCACCATTTTTTTGCCACAGAGAACAGCCTAAGTTAAGATCCACATCCTTTACCAATCTCAAATGCCAAAAAAAGCAACATAATTTCATAGCACCCACTTGAACTTTCAGTTCCAATTGGGATAGGCAAAGGAAAAATCACATACTTAGGGGCAACTGCTCTTGGTTTGTGTGCATCTTTCTACTGATTACAAAAACGCATACAATCCAATAATTCTTCTCTTCTCTTCTCCCTTCAATGGAAAGATTGAACTTTTACTTAGAAGCCACCCCAGGAATTCAATCCTAACCCGACACAGCTGCATATGATACATATACTACACATATTTATATATAAAGCGAGAGAAATCTTCAGGATATCGACCAAAAATTTCCCGCCGTTTCTGTCGGCTTTAATCTGATCATTGTTTTTCTGTTAAATCTGAAGGTTTCTCACGCAGAGTGTCGCTTACTGACCTTGATAGCAGGGAAGACTCTGAATCTGTCATTGAAAGAAATTATCCGTTAATGAAGAAGAAGAAGAAGAAGAAGAAAAGGGTTAATTTTTAATATAACGGAATAGTTTAGCAGTTTTATTCACCTCGAGATGCGTTGAAGGATCTCTTGCAATGGAGAATCGCGCTCTGGATTCCGTCTTGTTGCTGGATAAGCGAATCGTCCCTTCTCGAGGGAGCCATCCCTGGTGGCGCCGCTGCTACGGCGGAGGAAGCTGACCGACTTTTCCCCAAATGCTTGCAGACTACTCTTAGCTTAGCCGGCATGTTCCTGCCCTTGCTGTTGGCGGTGGTTGTTGGTGCTTGCACTTGCACACCTTCTGTCTGTGTCTGTGTCTCTGTCACGGGTTTCTCCAACGGCGGCGAGGTGGGTGGCGGTGCACCGGACTTGGCTCCGGCTGCCCCCAAAATAAGCTGCCCGGATAGCCTGAACTTCTCGCCGTATCTCCTTGAAACCCGAATGTACAGAGGCTTCACCATCTTCAAGTACTTTTGCATTATTACGTCTTTGGAGAATCGATTTTCCTCCGAAGTTAGTTCATCGGAGCTTCGTTTCTGGGGTTTGTTGTTGTTGTTGTTGTTGTTGTTGTTGTTGTTGTTGCTGTTGCTGGTAGTTCCTCCGGAGCCTCTTGAACTGTTGTCTCTGGTAAACAGAGACATGATCGGAACTTCCTCCACCTTAAGTTTCACAGCGAAAAGCTTACTTTTCGTCTGGTTCTGTTCTTTTCCCGCTTGGTTCTCGTTTTTCTCCGGTGGGATTTCCGTCGTCTCTTCCTTCATCTCAGTTTTGGTCATTTCCCCCACAGATCCATCTGTCTCTGGTTTCTTTTCCCCGTTCGATTTCGACCTCTTGAGACCCGACATGAATACCCTAAACTTGGCAGCTGATTTCAACAATGTGACACGAAGCTGCGGCCTGGCGTTTGTTTCAGAACCGCCATTGGAGGAGGCTTCAACTGGGACAAGCTTTCCCTTGAAAAACAAGTCATCAGAAGGAGAAAACGTGAGATTGGCATCGGAATGTTCGTTGCTAGAGCCAGATGACAGCGTGAAGTTGAACTCTCTCTCACCATCCGTATCCCCATCTTCTTCTTCTTCATCATCTTCATCATCTTCTTCTTCTTCTTCCTCACTTCCGTCAGCACAGTTTCTCCTCCCCTCGTCATTTCCCCCCTGTTTTCGACTCTCATCCTCATCAGGAACAGCAAACTCCAAATCAAAGAACGGCCCATCATCCTCATCATTCTCCTCATCACTTTCCGCCTGGTTCTGCGGCACGGCGGTGACAACACTGACAGCGCCAGCAGCAGAGGAATATCCGTTAAAAGCAAAATCAGCGGTGGCAGCAGCAGCAACAGCAGGAGGAGTAGCACCGCCGCCCCCTCTCCAGTATTTGAGCAAGCTGAAGCTTTCCATGGTTGGAAGAGCCAGAATAGAGGAATGGGTTAGGTTTAGAGAAGAAATGGGTAAAAAGGAAAAGAGAAGCAAGTAAAAGATAAGGGGGAAAAGGAGGTCCCTTGAGGTCGTCGAGGTCAGTCAGAGTTTCAGGAGAAGGACGATGGTAATGGTTGTTGCACTTTGCAGGTCTGAAAATGGGAGTGTGTCACAGAGTTGGTAAAGAAATACCTTTTTTTACCAAAAGATGAAACGTTTATTTTCTCCCATCTCCATTATATCTTCTTCACAACCTTAACTCTGTTAACGCATCCAATTAAATTGATGATGCCAGAATTCATTATTGGGGTCAAAATTAAATGGGTGGAGACATGTCAACTCCCAACCTTTTAATTAGGGTTTACTTTAATTTTCAAATTTTTCAATTTTTTTAGTTTATAATACTAGTTTTTTTAATGTATTAGCGTATAATTTTTAAATTTTATAAAAATGAAATATTAGGGTTGAATTTTGAAGACAATATTAACACCAAATTTGGGTAATAGATAATTTTTAAAAATTGGATTATTTACTATTTTTGGGTTTGGACTCACAATTTCCCATAATAATATGATGAAGTGGGCCCCTTTGTACTGAGACAATAGCCTCCGAATCTTAAATGGGCCTCTCAGGGGTTGCCTGAGAACAGTACCTATCGGCTCCATTTCTCAAAATAATTTAAAAAAAAAAAAAAAGTTAATATTTTTCATAATTCATCGAAAAGCTTCCAACTGCATAAAATTCCCCCCTTTCTCCTTCCTTCTCTTATCTGTGATTCCCAATCTACACGTGGGGTTATGACATTACATACCTCATACCCCCAAAACATAAAGTTTTTTTCTTTTTCTTTTTCTTTTCTCTACATATTTCATTATTATTAATAAATTATTTAACGAAAACATGCTCTCAACCAACCACGTTATAATTCAAGGAATGATCATGGGTTTATAATCAAACAATACTATATTCATTCGTTTGAGGCGTTTTGGGAAGCCCAAAACAAATTCATGAGAGCTTATGCTCAAAGTGGACAATATCATATCATTGTGGAGAGTCGTGTTCATCTAACATAGTATCAAGAGTCATGCCCTAACTTAGCCATATTAATAGAGTTGTTGAATTCTCAAATGTCGAGCAAATGATTCCAAAAGGAAAGGAGTCTAGCTTCGTGGGCAATATCATATCATTGTGGACAGTATCGAGTAAAAACAATTTAATTCAAAAACACTTAAAAGATTGTTTGGCTTTTTTATGATGCAGCTCTCAATGGTACGAGTTTGCAAAGAGAGTTGAAAAAGAAGAAAGAGCCCCAAGATTTGTTCCTTGAAACTACCTTTTGAAAAATGTAAAATAGATGGACGAGATAGAGGGAAGAATTTATTAAAATGCTTATAATTAATTTTTTTTTTAAAGTAATAATATATTCCCTATTTTGAAATAAGTAAACAAAAAAAAAAAAATCAAATTATAGTTTTAAAAACTAACTTCATGGCATGAGGGCTAATGAGATAATGAAACAAAATAATTTAAATTAATTTAAAGTCATAATTGATTTATTTTTGTAAAAGAATAAAAATAAATTATTTTGGTAATTAAAATATAGAAGTGGGTACCCTTAGTTCAAATGTCATTGTAATATATAATATTATTTCATTAATGAAAGAAACATATTATCCAAATTAATATATCATAACATCTGTTGCCAAAAGATGGGAGCTTAGACCTTCCACGTGTATTTTTTTTTTTTTTTTTTTTTTTTTTTTTNGAAACATATTATCCAAATTAATATATCATAACATCTGTTGCCAAAAGATGGGAGCTTAGACCTTCCACGTGTATTTTTTTTTTTTTTTTTTTTTGTCTTTTTCCTTTTCCAAAACAATTAAATTTTCATATTTAAAATAAATAAATAAATAAATAAATAAATAAATAAATAAATAAATAAAATTTTCTTGGTGGGTTCAATGCATATTTATAAGGTAACAACAAAGTGGGGACATAAAAGATTTGGTGACGAATGAAACAAAGAATGGAGCAATGTTTAATATGCAATTTAAAAATTGAAATTTTAAAATAAAAAAATCGATGAAATCAAAGTCGTGCTTCGTGTTTGGATATATGTGGTTGGAAATAGATTCTAAGGTTCGATACGTGTTTGAAAATATATATTTATACATCATAAAATTAATAATAATTAAATATAAATTATTATTTTTAGTAAATTTATGAATCCGTTTTAGGTGCATATAATTTATAACACATATTTTAATTTAATAAAAATAAGATTAATGAATTGAGTTTATAACATAGGACAAAACCTTAAAAAATAAAAATAAAATAATAATAATAAAAAAGGTTTAAAGAATCTTAATTTTAGTTAAATTGGTTCCTTGATTGGGATCATAAAATTGGAACCATATCTCATTTATATCCACCTTTGTCGGATCCTCCCGTCCGGCTATGCTATCTTTCCCTTGACCTTCCTTATTCTGAAGCGGATAAAGCTTAATTCCTCATGGTAGAAAAGGAGAAATGGTATGACTTTACAGAAGCGTGCTTTAGGAAACGAAAGAAGACCTCATAGTCAAATAATGCTCAATTCTCACGGTCGTAGGTTGAGTAGCCTAAGGCAAGTCTCCAGCAGCCTGTTGTCGGTGTGGTTGGGGATATGCGCCATCTGACAAAAACCTAAGTGAGTCGAGCGAACCGTTATATGTTTACTTGAAATAGATATATGCCATATGCTTGCTTCTCGCTACCGAAGCTTCAATACTTCATTGTTTAAGGTCTCTACACCCCGTTCTCCGAAACTCCCACTAAAACATCACTTCACGTATCGCCAACCCCGAGCCATACATTTCAGCAGACTCTCTGTCCTGCACATTCTTCTCTCAATCGACATGAGGACCAATCAGCCAGCAGCCAGCACAGCCGCCTCCCCCCACATGGAAATGAAAGAAAGATCTCTGAATGAGAATACCTTTGATAATAGAATCAGATTCTTTCTCAAGGGGCAACACCAGTAAAGCAGGAATTTCAAGCAATGCATCCAGCCATATCACTGCAGGGACAGGTTATGAAATAGTTGGATCCGTCGGGGCATTCATTCAAGACTCCGATAGATGGGGGAAAGAAAGGAGTTATCCATCAGAGGAAGACAGTGGAAGATCGGGATTCCGGGAAGGAATAAACAATTTGATCTTCGTCCAACAACGAAATATCTGGCAAAACTAGAATGTCCCTTCAAAAATCTCTTAACTGTTTAAGTTGGACTTATTGAAATCGGAATCATAGTCCGCATCAGCAGGTGAGGTAGTGTCAGTCTTAGCTTCTTTCGTCTTATAGTATAGGGTTGATCGACAGAAGACGAATAAGGCGCTGTAAGCTAAGCGCTCGACTATCTAGTGACGCACTCACATGGTTGAATGAAGGTGCGTGCCCCGGACAGATAAGGGTGTACTGTAGGAAGTTGGTGGTTGTTCTCCAGGCGGAGTGTTGGCTCCGCTGAAATATGGGAGACTTTCGTGGTTAGGTGCAATAGGGTTTTAGCGCTAGGCTCTTTTTTCTTTTTTATTATAATAATTAATGTCACATTCTTGGTGGCCTTGGTAAATTTCAATAAAATTAACATAAAATAGTTATATTTTCTTTTTAAAAGTATATATTAATTTGCATTTCAAAAAAAAAAAAATCAAAAATTAATAATTTAAGTACACGTCAAAATTCTAATCTTTTTTTCTTAATTAATAAATTAAGTTATTATATAACTCCCGTTGAAAACGTCTATGATTTACTTATCTATTTGATAAAACATCACAAATTTAATTTTTTTCAATTTTTTGAGATATTTGAAATTATATGTCCTAATCTTCTGTAACATAGCTAAGAGTTATCATGTAAAGTCGAAAAATATTTATTATTTATAGGATAATCATTTAAATCAAATCATATTTATTTCCGTCAATAAATTAAAAAAAATGGAAAAAATTTCAAAAGAGAGTCAAAGGAGAGTCAAAGGAGAGCTCCTTTCTCAATGCCCCAATAATTGCACACAACTTCCCTATCCAACTCAAACTCTATTTTTTATAATATCAATTTCTTTTTTTTAATTTCCAAAATAAATATTAAACTTCACAAATTTGCTTCATCTACCTCTTATAAAAAAAAAATAAAAATTAAAAAGTCATTGAAATTAGGAAATTAATATTCTAAAAATATGGACATTAATTTGGATTTTTGGATTATTATTATTATTATTATGTTTTTATTAGATTACGAATGGAATAAATAGTAGAAAATGGATGGATATTGGTGCGATCTGACTCATTATTAGAGATCAATCCCGAACCTGACGGATTACAAAGAAACCCACGAGTGATGAAAATTTCAAAGTCCAGCTGCCGAAAGCACGACATAAAGTTACCCAAAAGTGGGAAAAAAAAAACATTTACACCTAAATTAATTTTGATATTGAAGATTTTTTTTTAATTAAGAAAAAAAAAAGACAATATTAAGTGAATTGCTATTATTTATATGTTTATTTAAATTTTTAGAAATTTTAATGGGCCCATGGAGATAATATAGAGACAAAATGATGATGGTAAATCACAAATTTTGGCATTTTTTTTATGGGAATTACACATTTTCTTCCTTTTATTATTTCTTTTACCTTTTAAAGTGTTTTACTTTATCACACTTTTTACTTTTTTTTTTTTTTTTTTTTAAATTTATTTATTACTTTTTTAAACTCCTTTTTGTCTTATTTGGACATTTAATCAAATTCAAAACTGACTTCTTTTATTTCTTTTTATTTATTTTTTTAATCCAAATAGTAGTAACGATGACAGGATAGGAGCTCTTAACGTCATAGGTGACAGGATAGGAAAAGTGTGTGGGTCAAATAGCACCGAGAAAGAGAAAGATAGGAAAGATGTCATGTTCTACTGTCAGCCCACTCATGAAGAAATGTCATTATTTGGTGGGTTTAATACACCAACAAAATGCTCCTATTTTTGAGAAGCATTCTATGTATGTCCTAAATAGTTGCACCAATGAAGCACCTTCTTTTCATTTCAAATAAATAGGTAAAGGGCCAAGCTACATTCCCTTTGAACCATATCAGGACCTGACCATAAGAACCTTCTGTCTTCTTCTCAATTGTCTTCCAATCAAACCTGCACTGGCAGTATGAACACAGTACTCAAGTAAACACTTTCATGCT